GCTTTTTCAGGTCTATTGGTTAGTGCTTGTTACAAAATTATTGTGAAAGTTTCAAAAAAAATTTGAAAAAATTGCATGTTTGAATTTTTTTCAGATATCAAACCCCCACGCGCTATGTAGAAAAAACTATGTATTATATGCTAAAAACTTAGGTGGACCAATTAGCATGTCTCAGTTCAATTTGGAATGATTTCTGAGATGAATTAAATCTCCGCTCAGGCGTTATTAGTACGAAATACAACGAGAGTAAGTTTTCTCAAATAAGCAATCTTTGAACCAATCTAAGTTGACATTAAAGACCACAGATTTTTGTACGTAATTTTGAATCGTTTCAAGTCTAACACGTCAAAGTTTTCACTTCATAACAATCATAAGCTTTAGAAAAATTATAGGTTACAAAATAACAGGGTTGAGGTTTTTTAAACGTTTTTCAAGAAACTTTCGAACATGCTTGACCAAGTTTCGCTATGTTTCGACCGCTCCGGAAATTTCACTCTTAACTCGGCATTTATTTATTCACGTACAATTTTTTATCGACAGTTCAAAAACCATCAATCTATTATAAAAAACAATTACAAATTTTTGTTATGCGCAAACTTTGTTACTGTGAATTAAATATATACGGGCCAAACGTTTTTTTTCTGGTTAAGAGATTCTGAACCAAAATGTTAAGCCGTTTCGCGGAAGTTTTTTTAATTGACCGTATATCAAGAGAGCGTGTACGGAAAGAATTTTGATTTTCTGAAAACGGATTTATATTGAACATCTGGACCTACTACATGAAGTTCATGACAAAACACTACCGGTGCTTACTGTCAAATCGGGCGTACGTTTTGTTTTTGCTAAAAGCATTGATTGGTTCAGTTAACGCCGTGGTACACAAATTTCTTGGTGAATTATTTGGATTCCAATTTTCGTTTTAAGTCAATTTCAGTTTTTGTTCCAATTTTGAGGGGCAAAGCCATAACATTCCCACGTGAAACGCAAGAGGTTCCCAATAACAATATTTAATTTTGGTTTGCGCTCTGTTTTTTAAACTATTAAGCCTTTTCTGAGTATATTTAAAGAAAGTTTAAACTTATTGCCTTTAAAACCGTTTTTAGACAGCTATCTAGACAGCATGCGTCAAGCCCTCTATATTTTTTAAGTCAAAACTTTTTTTTATACTGTAGCCAAAGACAGTTCGGTCGATATTCAATTCAGACAATTCAACCGAAAGTATACAAACAATTCATCCAGAGAAAGTTCAGCCAGTTTTTCAAAACGCCAGAATTAAAAAAGAAAAAACGGAATTGGAGTTATTTCTCGGTGTAAGGTCCCCATTGGGCGCGCTACGCGCGCGTCGTCACTTCGCGTTGATAACCGGATCTTAATTTTGTATAGATTCCTACCTTCTTGTGGCAAGCTCGCAACACGTTGGCGCGAATGCGACGGTCACTGTTATTGGCTGAATTATCTGCACACTTTTCGTTGAATTGTTTGCATTTCATATTTAATGTATTGTCTTTGGCTGAATTGTCTGGACGCGTATCAAGTATATCGTATGGATTAGAAGAATATGAACCGAACAGAACAACTGAAATTTTTTAAAAAGAGCAGGGGAATGTTAAACTGTCCTACATTGTCATACGCACTGAAAGCTTAGCAGATTCGTTGGTTGTCAATTTTCTCCATCATAGTTTTTACAATCTCTTTTTCTTCCACAAAGTTGCAAATAAAAGCTACAGGTGTTTTACCTGCACTTATGCGATACCCTTCTTCAAAAATTCTATGAAACTTCAACATATATCAAGAAATCCTTTGAAAAGCTCCAAAATAAGCAAAATAAATTAACCAAAATATGGTTTTTACTTCAGAATTTTTATGTTCAACAAATTGGCAGTCTGTCTTGAAGTAGTCGTTAACAGGCAGACTTGGAAGAAATGTAAGCCAAATTCACGGAGACAAACTGGAAGCTCACTTTAAAAAAAATTATCTTGTAATTAAGATATCAGCTTTAAATGTAAAAAATGGCAGCTCTCTGAAATTCCAAAGCTTTCACCAAGTTTCTGTTTCTCACAATTAGATGTTTTTTGGGCCACTTGGCCCTTTTTTAAAATTGAAGTTTTAACTTTAAACTAAGTCCCGTAAGCAGTGTTTGACATGAGATTCACCTTTTTTTTGCGTTCAAAAAATTATTTTTGAGAGTTTATCAGTGGAATTTTTTCATTGCTTTTAATTGTCTGGGAAATTAGCCTTTTTTAAATCTGTTTACTTTTGCAAGATTTCGGTTGGTAGTGTATTAGTACAAAACTTTTTTTTTAAAACTAATTGCAGATTCTTGTGGTCATTAAAAGTGTTCACTTACTACACTTATCCCATAATCATAATTTGTAGCATTCGAAATTTCATATTATCTGTTCTCTGTTTTCTTTGAGGCTAGTGCTTGTGCCTAATTAAGTGTCCATGGCTGCTTGGATAGTAAGAGAGACACATAATATCTATGTGCGTGGATTGATACGACACATAGATGATTTTCTTAATTCGAGGTTTTTTCTCATTTTTAAAGCTTTTATAGAGCTGCTTTTTGTCGTGTTCTCGCTGGCGTTTACGAAGACCAGCTTCGCCTTTTTGTAAAGATGCTCCGGTTTGTATTTCATTATACATGAGAATATACATACTCAGAAGCTAAAATAAAGTACTCTTACGAATTGTATTAATAAATCAATTAAATTTATACTAGAATTTGCAGGACTATTAGCCACTGTTTTTACACTTGCAAAACCAAGTGTTTTTTAATCAGTAACGATTTTTTCCCGTAAACAACTTTTTTGTGCAAGTTTTCAACTTGCTTTGTTATTGAAACTTTTTGAGCTTCAGATTCTTTCGCACTTAGTTTAGAGGTAAGGCCGTCGTCTTTGACCCTAATGTCCAATATTCGTGTCCCGGCAGGATATTTTTTTCCAGTATATATGCAATTAAAAAAAAACATTTAAAAAAATTTCCGCTAAACGACTTTCATTTTTCTGCTCAAGTTTCGTCGGCTTAGTTGCCACATCACGGACTTTTCCTGTGCTGTAAACAAGTATCATTGTAGTTGCCAGTGTTTTTCATTAAAGTTTCAGAGGGGACTCGAAACTTTTCAATTTTTTTTTGTTATAAAACAAATTGTTTTTTTTTCTCAAACGGTGTCTGCTTAAATTTTTTTGGCTTCATTTCAGTGTTGTATTTTTGTTCCCCTCGCTAATAAATAAAAACAGGTACTATAAAACTTTATGGGATTGGTTTTTTTGTTTCATTTTTTTTGAGACGCGTTGGAAAATGTTATCACTCTTTTTTTAAATTTTTTAAAAAATGTTATCTTTTAAAAATTGGCCATAGCTCTTTTTTTAAAAAAATGTTGTCACCAATTTTCAAAAAGTGGTTTCAGTTTTCTCTAAAAATACCTTGCCAAATCTGAGATCTCGATTTCCATCGGAAAAGTTGGTTGTAGGAAACTCACGTGCATTAGCAGCTACGCTCAAATTTTTCAACAAAAAAAGCGATGGCCCTTAAAAATCTCAAACTTTCCACTTTCTACCGTTTGTTGAAATTTCGTGATTTTCCCCAAAAACTACCCTCCAAAATCTGAGATTTTCATTTCTATCGAAAAAACGAGTTGTGCGAATCTCCACAGAATAAATTTTTGACTTTTTTGACCGTTTTTTTTAAAACTCTGAGTCAAAGCCTACGCTTTAAAGAGATTTTGACAGAAGACAAAATGTAAGAAGCTCCCTGCGTAAGCGGCTACGCCCAAGTTATTTACACGAAAAATTATGAACCTCGACAAGATCAAATATTGGATTCAATGGAGAGAATTGGGTGTGGGAATTTCCCCTGCATTGATGCACTAGTGGCTACGGCCATTTCTCTACCAAGAGGTAATCGTCCTCGGAAAAATCATATTTGTGACTTTTTGATCGTTTTTTGAAGACCTTTGATTTCTCTCATAAGATACTTTTCCAAATCTGAAGTTTTAAGTCCAATCGAAACAGTAAGTTATATGAAACAAGGGTACACGCTCTAATTTTTTCCACAAAAATCAAGGGTCCTCAGAAAAGTCAATCATTACATTATTTGATAGTTTTTTAAGTTTTTTTAAATACTACTTTTCTCAGAGATTTTTGGCTCAATCAAAGCAAAGGGTTGAATAACACCCCAGAATAAACGGCGACGTCAAAATTTTCCAACAAAAATTATGCCAACAAAAACTTTCGCTTTTTCTAAAATTTTAGTGTTTCTCAAAAATTATTCTGCCGTTTTTCAAAAAAACGGGTGAACAATGGAAAGCGCACTTACTCTTCTGTTTCCCTGTGTGATACCCTTGTCCTCTTTCTGCAACTTTCGAAAAAAAACAGTGGGTGGAAGGGTGGAATATTTGACCCATATTTTTGATTTTTTTTCCTTTTCTCAAAATGCAGCCTACCAAATCTGCGAATCTGAAATTTTAGTTTCAATGAATAGAACAGAATTGACAAAAACTTCTGGATAAACTGCTACGCCAAAGTTTTCATACCTAAATTTATGGCCCTCGGACTAGTCCAACTTTTGATTTTTTGAGCAGTTTTTGAATAAACTTTTTTCGTACACTAACCTCCCAAACCTGAGATTATTGGTTCAATGGAGATAAAATTAGTGAAGAACTCACTGTATTAGCGGCCACAAGTTGTTAAAAGCATATCTTTATAATTGGTTTGGCACACTTTTTTTACTAAGACTGTTTTTGGAAAGTTGTTTTTACTTTACTCGAAAACTACCGTGGCAACTCTCAAGTTAAGTCTGGATTGTCCTTTTACCTGCAATATCATTTAAGCCCGGCCTTCCTCGCAAATTTATTATGAAGTTGATTTCTTTTTTTTTTTGAAAAAAAGTTAAGAGGGATAGATTTAAATTCAATCGGGATGAAAAAGTATTATTTCAAAAAAATACTTCTAGGGAATATACTTGTTGCTTCCATGTTCTCAGAAGCCTGGCCAAACTGCTTACTTGTCGCAGATATTCCTAATCGCTTTTCTGAGTGCAGTTCTCATAGCAGGTATGGCCAAGTAGCTCAGTGCTCTGACAGCCGCTCCAATTGCTGATAAAACTTGAGCCGCACGAATGAACCATACTTCTCCACCCATCAGCTCCTAAACTGACCGCTGGTAAAAAGCACTGATGACAAAAAAAAACACCTTTTTTAGGCTTTTAGCATTAATTATTCACGCCAAGTTCCGCTGGTAAAAAGCACTGATGGCAAAAAAAAAACACTTTTTCACGCTTTTAGCGTTACATATTCACGTCAAGTTCCGCTGGCAAAAAGCACTGATGACAAAAAAAACACTTCTTCCGGCTTTTAGCATTACATATTCACGTCAAATTCCGCTGGTAAAAAGCACTGATGAACAAAAACACTTTTTCACGATTTTAGCATTACATATTCACGTCAAGTTCCGCTGGTAAAAAGCACTGATGACAAAAAAAAACAGTTTTCACGCTTTTAGCATTACATATTCACGTCACGTTCCGCTGGTAAAAAGCGCTAATGACAAAAAACACTTTTTCACGCTTTCAGCATTACATATTCACGTCAAATTCCGCTGGTAAAAAGCACTGATGAACAAAAATACTTTTTCACGATTTTAGCATTACATATTCACGTCAAGTTCCGCTGGTAAAAAGCACTGATGACAAAAAAAAACAGTTTTCACGCTTTTAGCATTACATATTCACGTCACGTTCCGCTGGTAAAAAGCGCTAATGACAAAAAACACTTTTTCATGCTTTCAGCATTACATATTCACGTCAATTTCCGCTGGTAAAAAGCAGTGATGACAAAAAAAAAACATTTTTTCACGCTTTTAGCATTACATATTCACGTTAGGTTCCACTGGTAAAAAGCACTGATGTCAAAAAAAAAATTTTCCCGCTTTTAGCATTACATATTCACGTGAAACTCCGCTGGTAAAAAGCACTGACGAACAGAAACATTTTTTCACGCTTTTATCATTACATATTCACGTCAATTTCCGCTGGTAAATAGCACTGATGACAAAAAAAACACTTTTCACGCTTTTAGCATTATATATTCACGTCACGTTCCGCTGGTAAAAAGCACTGATGAGAAAAAAAAACATTTTTCACGCTTTTAGCATTACATATTCACGTCAAGTTCCGCTGGTAAAAAGCACTGATGAGAAAAAAAAAACACTTTTCACGCTTTTATCATTACATATTCATGTCAAGTTCCGCTGGTAAAAAGCACTGATGACAAAAAAAAACACTTTTCACGCTTTTAGCATTATATATTCACGTCACGTTCCGCTGGTAAAAAGCACTCATGACAAAAAAAAACATTTTTTTTTACGCTTTTAGCATTACATATTCACGGCAAATTCCGCTGGTAAAAGCACTGATAAACAAAAACACTTTTCACGCTTTTAGAATTACATATTCACGTCAAGTTCCGCTGCTAAAAAGCACTGATGACAAAAAAAAACACTTTTTCACGCTTTTAGCATTACATATTCACGTCAGGTTCCGCTGGTAAAAAGCAGTGATGACAAAAAAAAACATTTTTTCACGCTTTTAGCATTACATATTCACGTTAGGTTCCGCAGGTAGAAAGCACTGATGTCAAAAAAAAATTTTCCCGCTTTTAGCATTACATATTCACGTGAAACTCCGCTGGTAAAAAGCACTGACGAACAGAAACATTTTTTCACGCTTTTATCATTACACATTCACGTCAATTTCCGCTGGTAAAAAGCACTGATGACAAAAAAAAACACTTTTCACGCTTTTAGCATTACATATTCACGTCACGTTCCGCTGGTAAAAAGCACTGATGAGAAAAAAAAACACTTTTCACGCTTTTAGCATTACATATTCACGTCAAGTTCCGCTGGTAAAAAGCACTGATGAGAAAAAAAACATTTTTCACGCTTTTATCATTACATATTCATGTCAAGTTCCGCTGGTAAAAAGCACTGATGACAAAAAAAAACACTTTTCATGCTTTTAGCATTATATATTCACGTCACGTTCCGCTTGTAAAAAGCACTAATGACAAAAAACATTTTTTTTTACGCTTTTAGCATTACATATTCAAGTCAAATTCCGCTGGTAAAAGCACTGATAAACAAAAACACTTTTTCACGCTTTTAGAATTACATATTCACGTCAAGTTCCGCTGCTAAAAAGCACTGATGACAAAAAAAACAATTTTTCACGCTTTTAGCATTACATATTCACGTCAAACTCCGCTGGTAAAAAGCACTGACGAACAAAAACACTTTTTCACGACTTTAGCATTACATATTCACGTCAAGTTCCGCTGGTAAAAAGCACTGATGACAAAAAAAAACAGTTTTCACGCTTTTAGCATTACATATTCACGTCACGTTCCGCTGGTAAAAAGCGCTAATGACAAAAAACACTTTTTCACGCTTTCAGCATTACATATTCACGTCAAATTCCGCTGGTAAAAAGCACTGATGAACAAAAACACTTTTTCACGCTTTTAGCATTACATATTCACGTCAAGTTCCGCTGGTAAAAAGCAGTGATGACAAAAAAAAAACATTTTTTCACGCTTTTAGCATTACATATTCACGTTAGGTTCCGCTGGTAAAAAGCACTGATGTCAAAAAAAAAATTTTTCCCGCTTTAAGCATTACATATTCACGTGAAACTCCGCTGGTAAAAAGCACTGACGAACAGAAACATTTTTTCACGCTTTTATCATTACATATTCACGTCAATTTCCGCTGGTAAAAAGCACTGATGACAAAAAAAAACATTTTTCACGCTTTTAGCATTACATATTCACGTCACGTTCCGCTGGTAAAAAGCACTGATGAGAAAAAAACACTTTTCACGCTTTTAGCATTACATATTCACGTCAAGTTCCGCTAGTAGAAAGCACTGATGGGAAAAAAAAACATTTTTCACGCTTTTATCATTACATATTCATGTCAAGTTCCGCTAGTAAAAAAGACTGATGACAAAAAAAAAACACTTTTCACGCTTTTAGCATGAAATATTCACGTCACGTTCCGCTGGTAAAAAGCACTAATGACAAAAAACATTTTTTTTACGCTTTTAGCATTACATATTCACATCAATTTCCGCTGGTAAAAGCACTGATAAACAAAAACACTTTTTCACGCTTTTAGAATTACATATCCACGTCAAGTTCCGCTGCTAAAAAGCACTGATGACAAAAAAAAACACTTTTTCACGCTTTTAGCATTACATATTCACGTCAGGTTCCGCTGGTAAAAAGCACTGACGACAAAAAAAAATTTTCCCGCTTTTAGCATTACATAATCACGTCAAACTCCGCTGGTAAAAAGCACTGACGAACAAAAACACTTTTTCACGCTTTTATAATTACATATTCCAGTCAAGTTCAGCTGGTAAAAAGCACTGATGACAAAAAAAAACACTTTTCACGCTTTTAGCATTACATATTCACGTCACGTTCCGCTAGTAAAAGCACTGATGAGAAAAAAAAAACACTTTTCACGCATTTAGCATTACATATTCACGTCAAGTTCCGCTGGTAAAAGGCACTGATGAGAAAAAAAAACACTTTTCACGCTTTCAGCATTACATATTCACGTCAAGTTCCGCTGGTAAAAAGCACTGATGACAAAAAAACACTTTTCACGCTTTTAGCATTACATATTCACGTCACGTTCCGCTGGTAAAAAGCACTGTGACAAAAAAACACTTTTCACGCTTTTAGCATTACATATTCACGTCACGTTCCGCTGGTAAAAAGCACTGTGACAAAAAACACTTTTTCACGCTTTTAGCATTACATATTCACGTCAAATTCCGCTGGTAAAAGTACTGATAAACAAAAACACTTTTTCACGCTTTCAGCATTACATATTCACGTCAAGTTCCGCTGGTAAAAAGCACTGATGACAAAAAAACACTTTTTCAAGCTTTAAGCATTACATATTCACGTCAAGTTCCGCTGGTAAAAAGCACTGATGACAAAAAAAATTTCCCGCCTTTAGCATTATATAATCACGTCAAACTCCGCTGGTAAAAAGCACTGACAAACAAAAACACTTTTTCACGCTTTTATCATTACATATTCCCGTCAAGTTCCGCTGGTAAAAAGCACTGATGACCAAAACAAAACACTTTTCACGCTTTTAGCATTACATATTCACGTGTCGTTCCGCTGGTAAAAAGCACTGATGTGAAAAAAAAAACACTTTTCGCGCTTTTAGGATTACATATTCACGTCAAGTTCTGCTGGTAAAAATGCACTGATACGAAAAAAAAACACTTTTCACGCTTTCAGCATTACGTATTCACGTCAAGTTCCGCTAGTAAAAAGCAATGATGACAAAAAAAACACTTTTCACGCTTTTAGCATTACATATTCACGTCAAGTTCCGCTGGTAAAAAGCACTGATGACAAAAAAAATTTCCCGCCTTTAGCATTATATAATCACGTCAAACTCCGCTGGTAAAAAGCACTGACAAACAAAAACACTTTTTCACGCTTTTATCATTACATATTCCCGTCAAGTTCCGCTGGTAAAAAGCACTGATGACCAAAAAAAACACTTTTCACGCTTTTAGCATTACATATTCACGTGACGTTCCGCTGGTAAAAAGCACTGATGTGAAAGAAAAAACACTTTTCGCGCTTTTAGGATTACATATTCACGTCAAGTTCCGCTAGTAAAAAGCACTGATGACAAAAAAAAACACTTTTTCACGCTTTTAGCATTACATATTCACGTCAAATTCCGCTGGTAAAAGTACTGATAAACAAAAACACTTTTTCACGCTTTCAGCATTACATATTCACGTCAAGTTCCGCTGGTAAAAAGCACTGATGACAAAAAAACACTTTTTCAAGCTTTTAGCATTACATATTCACGTCAAGTTCCGCTGGTAAAAAGCACTGATGACAAAAAAAATTTCCCGCCTTTAGCATTATATAATCACGTCAAACTCCGCTGGTAAAAAGCACTGACAAACGAAAACACTTTTTCACGCTTTTATCATTACATATTCCCGTCAAGTTCCGCTGGTAAAAAGCACTGATGACCAAAAAAAAACACTTTTCACGCTTTTAGCATTACATATTCACGTGACGTTCCGCTGGTAAAAAGCA